TCCAACCCCCTGCCAAGCAGGAAACACCACCAGAGCACTCCTGACATATGGTTGTCAAGCCTCTGCTTAAAGACCTCCAAAGAAGGAGACTCCACCACACTCCTTGGCAGCAAATTCCACTGTCGAACAGCTCTTACTGTCAGGAAGTTCTTCCTAATGTTTAGGTGGAATCTTCTTTCTTGTAGTTTGGATCCATTGCTCCATGTCCGCTTCTCTGGAGCAGCAGAAAACAACCTTTCTCCCTCCTCTATGTGACATCCTTTTATATATTTGAACATGGCTATCATATCACCCCTTAACCTCCTCTTCTCCAGGCTAAACATGCCCAGCTCCCTTAGCCGTTCCTCATAAGGCATCGTTTCCAGGCCTTTGACCATTTTGGTTGCCCTCCTCTGGACACGTTCCAGTTTGTCAGTGTCCTTCTTGAACTGTGGTGCCCAGAACTGGACACCAGCGGCGTAGCATGGGTTGTCAGCACTCAGGGCAAGGCAAGTAATTTGCGCCCCCTAACCCGGGGCAAGGCAAATAATTTGCGCCCCCTAACCCCTAACCTGCCACTGCTGCCAGCTTCTTCTTGCTGCTGCCTGGGCTGGTCTGGTGTGGTTCTCTCCCGCGCTCAGCACTGCGCTGGGCGGCCGCTGCACTGTCCCTCCCCCAGATAGTCCCTCGCTCTCTCTCCGCACCGCACGCCTGGCACCCACCCCCTCCACAGTGGGCGGCGACCCAGCGGCTCAGATCGGATTCGCACAGCCAGCACTGCAGTGAGAGAGAGTGAGTGAGCCAGGTAGGGGCAGAGAGCTGCGAGTGCGAGCGCGCGCCCCCCAGATGTTGCGCCCGGTGCGGCCGGCCCCCCCTGCACCCCCCACGCTACGCCACTGCTGGACACAGTACTCCAGGTGAGGTCTGACCAGAGCAGAATACAGTGGCACTATTACTTCCCTTGATCTAAATGCTATACTCCTATTGATGCAGCCCAGAATTGCATTGGCTTTTTTAGCTGCCGCGTCACACTGTTGGCTCATGTCAAGTTTGTGGTCAACCAAGACTCCTAGATCCTTTTCACATGTACTGCTCTCAAGCCAGGTGTCACCCATCTTGTATTTGTGCCTCTCATTTTTTTTGCCCAAGTGCAATACTTTACATTTCTTCCTGTTAAAATTCATCTTGTTTGTTTTGGCCCAGTTCTCTAATCTGTCAAGGTCGTTTTGAAGTGTGATCCTGTCCTCTGGGGTGTTAGCCACCCCTCCCAGTTTGGTGTCATCTGCAAATTTGATCAGGATGCCCTTGAGTCCATCATCCAAGTCGTTGATAAAGATGCTGAATAAGACCGGGCCCAAGACAGAACCCTGTGGCACCCCACTAGTCACTCTTCTCCAGGATGAAGAAGAACCATTGATGAGCACCCTTTGGGTTTGGTCAGTCAGCCAGTTACAAATCCACTGAGTGGTAGCATAGTCAAGACTGCATTTTACCAGCTTCTTTACAAGAATATCATGGGGCACCTTGTCAATGCCTTGCTGAAATCAAGGTAGGCAACATCCACTGCGTTCCCTTCATCTACCAGGCTTGTAATTCTGTCAAAAAACGAGATCAGGTTAGTCTGACATGACTTATTATTCAGAAATCCATGCTGACTATTGGTGATCACAGCATTCCTTTCTAGGTGCTCACAGACTGTTTGCTTAATGATCTGCTCCAGAATCTTCCCTGGTATTGATGTCAGACTGACTGGGCGGTAATTATTTGGGTCCTCTCTTTTCCCTTTTTGAAAATAGGGACAACATTTGCCCTCCTCCAGTCTGCCAGGACTTCGCCTGTTCTCCAGGAATTCTCAAAGATGACTGCCAGTGGTTCTGAGATCACATCTGCCAGTTCTTTTAATACTCTTGGATGCAGTTCATCTGGCCCTGGAGACTTGAATACATCTAAACTAGCCAAGTATTCTTGTACTATCTCCTTAGTTATTCTGGGCTGTGTTTCCTCTGCTGAATCATTTGCTCCAAATTCTTCAGGTCGGGCATTGTTTTCTTTATCGGAGAAGACTGAGGCAAAGAAGGCATTGAGGAGTTCAGCCCTTTCTGTGTCCCCTGTTTGCATTTCACCATCTTCTCCTCTGAGTGACCCCACTGTTTCTTTGTTCTTCCTTTTGCTACGAACATACCCATAAAAGCCTTTTTTGTTGCTTTTAACCTCTCTAGCAAGCCTGAGTTCATCCTGTGCTTTAGCTTTTCTGACTTTGTGTCTACACGTGCTGGCTATTTGTTTGAATTCCTCTTTGGTGCTTTCCCCCCTTTTCCATTTTTTGTACACATCCTTTTTTAATCTTAACTCAGTTAAAAGTTCTTTAGATAGCCACCCTGGCTTCTTTAGGCACCTTCCATGTTTCCGTCTCATTGGTATTGCCTGAAGTTGTGCTTTTACTATCTCCCTCTTAACAAACTCCCAGCCATCATGAACTCCCTTTCCTTTTAGTATTACTGTCCATGGGATCTCACCCAGCGCTTCCCTAAGTATTATGAAGTCGGCTTTCTTAAAGTCAAGAAATTGAGTCCTAGTATGCTTGGCTGCTCCTTTCCGCTGTATAGTAGTTTAGTTTTAGTTTTACTTGTTTTTAGTTTTACTTGTTTTTACCCAAGGGTGTCCTGCTATAATTTTCAATCTCAAGCATCAAATCACCTGAGCTAGCTTCAAATGAACACCACACATAGAGTTAGTAATTTCGAGAACTGTTGGCCAATAAAATAATTTTAGCTGATTAATCATCGGGCCTAACTTAATTCAAATCACTTTATTACATTCAGATGTGTTTCATATTACCAAAATCCAAAATAAGTGGAGGAGGATGGGGTTTAGATCCTGGAGTGGGTGTAAGATAATCTACACTGTGTAATAAACAAAAGGTACCACACATTGTTACCTGTCCTTAATATTTTCTTTCTTCATTTCCTAAATAGAACAGCAACCCACAGCCCAATTCCAGACACAAATGTATCCCAACAACTCAGCAGTTTCCCCAATAAGCCAACTTGTTTTGGAGGGGCGATTGTATTACAAGAGCTGCTAGGGTGAGCAGTTTACGGTGCAGCAGATCTCTGAATGAGCCAAGAGATTCCTGGTTTAGCCACTGGCAAATCCCCAGTGCTGGTTTAGCTGAATATACAGTGGTGCCTCGCAAGACGAAATTAATTCGTTCCGCGAGTTTTGTGGTCTTGCGATTTTTTTCGTCTTGCGAAGCATGGTGTCGGGAAAGTTTTGGAAAAGCTTCAAAAATCACCAAAGTCTTTAAAAACCTCAAAAAAGGCTACCACACCGCGTTCTATGAGTTGCTCCTCGAAGTCAAGTCGCAACTGTATTAACGGTGTTAAGAAAAAGGAAACAAACTTGCAAGACGTTTCCGTCTTGCGAAGCAAGCCCATAGGGAAAATCGTCTTGCGAAGCAGCTCAAAAAACCCTTTCGTCTAGCGAGTTTTTTGTCTTGCGAGGCATTCGTCTTGCGAGGTACCACTGTACACCTATATAACTTGCTTATCCTATCTCGGCCAGACCTGGCTAATTCAAAGCCGGCGTAAATCCCCCGAAAGGGGTGAGATGTGACCAGGAATGGAGGATTTAAGATGGATATGCAGTCATGTGACCTGCAAAAAATGGTAGTGTGAGTTAAACTATTTTAAAGACTTGATTTCCCTCTGACAGGGTTGGGCCTCCTCAACCAACAGCAGCCTTGCTCCTGAATGGGATTTGGGTCTAACATAACTTTATGCCAGCTTAATTTTCACCATCTTACTTTACACCAGTTTCTTATGCATAATTGCTCCCTTAGGTGATTAATCCTCAATTTAAACTGTTTGCAGCCTTAGAATTTACCAAAATAAAAAGATAATTGTAACATAGCAACAGGTTTTCCTTTTAAAAAAATGTATGCACAACTTGTTTTGGGTTTAAGTCTAAAGTGTTTTTTGAAAAATTCCATTGATGGAGCTAGCCATTAAACACATCCATATATGGCTTTAATATTGGTTTTTCCAGGAACATGACTCAAGATTTTCTTTTTAGATGGGAAAACGCCAGTTGACCTATCTTTGTTTTTGTTATATAAGCCTTTATCAGCCTCATTCTGTGCACGTTTGGAGGAGGAATGGCTACATTCAGCAAAAGAAAAGAAAAATCAGCTATAAAAAGGAACAGCAGATTAACAAGAAAACTATTAATAGTGTCATGACACTGATAATGTCAACCTAGGAGCCAATACCATTAGAGTACATCCATCTCCCCTCACAGAAACAAGAAAAATAAAGATTGTCAAGGATTCACTTTTTCACCATAGTAGTAAACACTTGAGCGCACTATCAATGGCATTTTCTTTATGACTTGGAGGGAAGATTTTGCTGGACTGAGCCAACTGCAATTTAGGAACATCCAGTGCTTTATTTTTTTAAAGTTTAGGGGTACAGTGGTACCTCGGGTTAAGTACTTAATTTGTTCTGGAGGTCTGTTCTTAACCTGAAACTGTTCTTAACCTGAAGCACCACTTTAGCTAATGGGGCCTCCTGCTGCCGCTGGAGCACGATTTCTGTTTTCATCCTGAAGCAAAGTTCATAACCTGAGGCAATATTTCTGGGTTAGCAGAGTCTGTAACCTGAAGTGCATGTAACCTGAAGCATATGTAACCCGAGGTACCACTGTACCCTCATTTTCCTACTCATGTTGAAATACTGCCCCTCAATGAGGCCTAACTTAGATTCACAAAATGTTTAGGGGTGCGCGTCCCCCTGCGTCCCCCCAGAAAGGAAAACCCCTGGGAACATCACAAGAGAATGACACGGGTCACACCGCATCATAATTTGGATTACTCCAACTTTGTCTGGATAAATTCAGCCCAAATCCTGTCAAACCAGTGTAAAATTGCACCAATAATTTCGCAAGCTAGACACAGCCTCACCTAAACACATCCCAAATCTCACCTGAATTGCAAGAGTTGCATTTGGATTGCTGGCAATGTTGGAGTAATGGAAGAAGGGAATGAAGAGCAGGGGTCAAACTCTGTCAGGTGCAGCTTCTCCCTTCACCACAGCGCTGTGGTGAGGAAAGCCTCTCCTGCTGAAATGGCCCATGAGAGAGTAGAGAGAAAGTTGTCAAGGTCTGGGCCTCCTTTCCTCCCTCAGAAGCTTCTAGTCCCCTGCTTCACCTCATGGAGCATCAACTTCCTGCCTAGGCCTTCCTTTATGCCTTTATGCCCTGAAACCTTTCCCAGACTGCAGGTATAATGGTGAGAAAGGCCGCACCTGTTTGAATTCTGACCTTCAAGGGGCTGTGAAAGGAGAAAAAGGAGGGAAAGCAAGAATGCAGAAAAAGAGAGGAGGGAGAACTTGGGGGAGGGTCGTAGCTCAGCGACAGAGCATCTGTTTTGCATGTGGAAGGTTCCGGGTTCAAGTTCCAGCATCTCCGAGTAAGACTGGGAATTCCCTGTCAGAAATTCTGGAGCTGCCAGTCAGAGTAGGCAATGCTGACCTAGAAGGGCCAATGGTTAGACTCAGCGTCAGCCAACTTCCTCTGTGCAGCTCCCTGTCACTGGTGACGCGAATGGGTGGGGAGGCAGGCAGTTGTGCGCTGCAGCCCAGCAGACTGTTAATTTTATTTATTTATTTGAGAAAATTTATATTATGCTTACTTGAAAGTAGAGACATCGTAAGCAGTTTACAAAGGACAAGGTCAAATGTTTGTTTAAAATAAAATACTGATAAAAGCGAATGTTAAAAATAAGTTAAATATATATAAAATCAGCCATTTTAAAAGCAATTGTATCTAATACAATTTAAGTATGTTAAAATCACATGCCCAGGTAGGCCTACTGAAAGAAAAAATTTTTTAACTGAGCACCAGAAACAATACAGCAAAAGCTTCTGTCTAATAATCTCTACAGGGTGGTTCTTGGTTTTGGATTCCACAGCAAGATAGGGCAAACATGCTGGTTATTTCTATACTTAAATTTGCATATATATATTTGAAGCCCATTTGTTTGTATTTATTTGTTATTTTACAGGTAAGGTCGGTTGCTGAAAAGGAAGAGTGGGGCAATGGAGGAGCTTCCTTCTCCCAAAGGAGGTCACTAAATCCTATACCCAGAGATAGCTAGAGGAACTGTAACCGAAAACCTTTTAAAATTATATTTTTGTAACAATAATAAAAGGGATCTTTTAATTTTTAGAACTAAAAATACTGAATCTTGCACCGTAATTAACGGTAATTAAAGGCACAGGTTAATCAAAGGCTGGGCTGCAACTCTCCGACAGACAGGGACGTTGGGAGTTCAATAACATCTTTGCATTATTGCTCTGGTATAGTTGGAAATACACTAGCCTGGAAAGTAGGACTGAGCAAGAGAACCCAATAACATTGATTCTGCTGATAATTTGTATTACAGACTGATGTTAAGTATTTATTATACAAAAGGTAGTATCAACCGATAATTTCTATTGGTTTAGAGGAGTGGGGAACCTTTAGCTCTCCAGATGTTGTTAAGACTACAACTCCCATCGTCCCTGACCATTGGCCATGCTATCTGGGACTGATAGGAGTTGTAGTCCAGCAACACCCAAGGTTCCAGCCCTAGTTTAGAAAAAAAAGAAGTGACCTGAAAATAACTCAACACTTCTGTGTTGTGAAAAGTTTGCCTGTTTTTCTACACAAACTGCTGTTAAAGGCATAAGAACATCCCACACTATCCGCCCCACCCACACCCGGGTCATTGCCAAGCCTCCCAATTCTTGACACAGAGCAAAGGTTTTGTTATTAAGAGAAGTGAGATATACAATATACAAAATACTGTGTCCCTCAACTCCTGGAATGAATCTTGTAGCGTCTATAATGAAGCTAAATCACCACCTTGTAGCATCTATAATGAAGCTAAATCACCACCATGAAGAAAGTCCAATGCAGTAGTTAAAAATATTTATTTCTTATTTCTTATATGTTTACCTTAACAGACATAAGGCATTTCCCCTAATTTCATACAGAAATACATAAGACATGCATAGACCAATATGGCCTGTTTCAATGAATATTCAACATGGTAAATATAATGTCAGTTTCATGAATATAAATACAATATATAGATTAAAAAATATGCCACATCATACAAAATTACAATCCAGACCTTATTCAGTGAATTGTCTTATAGATAAACCCACTGCTATGAACATCCACTGCTTTTTCGTCTTATTTTTAAGCCACCTGCTGCCATACAGACTTTCATTTCAAGAGATCGCGCCAATGCAGCATCTACCTCTTATTAGGATATTAGTTATCCGCATCTCCACATTACACTAAACGCTGTCAGATCTCCTCTTGCATTGAGTGTTCATGCAGTTTACTGTGTTAAGCTAAACTTCATTTCTGCCAAGCTCGTGCACATCAACCCCAAGCTTGCTTATCTGAGGCTGCAATCGTGTACACACTTACCAGGGAGCAAGTCCCATTGAGCTCAATAGGAGTTGCTTCCAAGTTAAGACATAGGATTGCACTGCAAAAGCAGAAAGGCAGTGAGATCTACTTCCCAGGAATCTGTGCCATCTTTAGGATGGGGCCTGTTAAGTTTCTTTCCTTTGTTAGCACAGAGTGTAGAAGACCATTTTTATCCGCAGCCTTGAAAGTTCAGAGCTACAAAATGGCGAGCTACTGGCATTTATGAATGATTAAAAAATAAGAGGTTGTAACAGATGCTTGAAGGTCACACAAAAAAGTTATAACAATACTTTGGCAAGAGTGCAACATAAGAGCATTTGAGGTAGAGTTGTTATGTAGGATGTGTGTCCTGATCAAAGTAGCACAGTCATTTTCCATTTTAATTTAAGTCAAAATGATGCAAGTCTTCTCTTTCAGATCTTGACCTCTTCATTTCTGATCTTCTTGATCCCAAAAGAGCTTGCATTATATGTTAAGAGAAGCCTGCCAAACCAAATAAGATCACTGCTTCAATTTTACCCTCTCTTAAGAAATGGGGCCCAGATTTGCCCTTTCTTCATCTGACAGCCCACCGAAAAAGAAAACCAGTTGAAGGGATGCTTTTTGACCCAACCTATTCAATGGAATTCCAAGAAGATGGCAGTATTTAACTGCTTTGTCATCTGTCCAAAGGGAAGATTTATTTGGGCCCTCCTCTACTTTCAGAGAGTTAATATTTAGAACAACACTCCTTGATCTTTTCGTGGAGTGGAATGTTAAGAAGTCAAAACAGAGCTTCAGCAATGCTTTGTCAGTAATTCGTGATGACTCGAGGATTAGGGTTGGTGATCTTTCCACTAAGACGTCGTCTTCAGGCTTTCCCAAATATTTTGCTTTTGATATGTTCGGTTATGCTTCATCTGCTTTGGTTTGTGCAGCCTGCTCTTCAGTTTGGCAATATTAAAAGACGCTTTGATACTATTACCAATGGCATCCAACCTGCAGAAACAAGAAACCATTAAATAAATCGAGAGACCATACATTCTGATCTTCCTATTCACATGTAACCCAGATTGTATAGATGCTTGTACATAGCAATTCTGCTCCTTTTTCCTTCCCACCTTTTGAGATGTTAAACGAAACACACATCCACATACTCCTATACCAGGGCTTCCCAAACTTGGGTCTCCAGCTGTTTTTGGACTACAACTCCCATCATCCCTAGCTAGCGGGACTAGTGGTCAGGGGTGATGGGAATTGTAGTCCAAAAGCAGCTGGAGACCCATTTGGGAAAAACCTGTCCTATACTAATTCAAGTTGATTCAATATAACCCTAAAGGTCTGCCATATTTTATGGCAGGGAGCAAAGGGATGGTAGAAGTCTCACTTGCTAAATCCCTGTGTCAGTCTGCTGTTAAAAGCAGCAGCAGTTTCAAAAAGGAAGAATGACAACTAACGCACATTGCACCTCAGTTTTTATTATGAGAATCTGCCTCCATGTACATTAAATGGTGTATATGCAGTATATTTTGGTGTCCATACGTGGAACTCTTTTTGCAGTCATCCACAGCCAGGATTTAATTTATTGTGAGGACTGCATAGGCATGATTTCTCCCCTGAAGAGACTTAGCACTTTGAAGTGCCAAACCCATTTTGGAAGCAGGATATTTACATAAATTTATTAAATAGGATTACTTTCTGCAAGATAATGCTCAACATTAATCACAAAAGTAAGAGATCAATATGCTTCAGGTAAAGTTAAAAGGGGGAGAAAAACACCCTTTAGAGTCACTGCCAGTCTCGTCTGTGAGAAAACTTATTTCAGGCACCATATTTGGTGCTTAATTAGATGCTTGCATATGAGCAAAATACATCTGCCAAGTAGCCTAAAGGCAATTCAACTGAATGCAAATCTATCCGATCCAAGGTCCTGTTCCTAACACTTCCTGGTTTCCATGAAGCAGTCTGTTCCATACAATGAAGAAACTGTGTAGGTAACAGTTGTGGTGCAAAGATTCTACCCCAGCTACCAAAAGGCTTCACTTTCCCCAGATTTTTTAAGAGAACTAAACACAGCTTATACCCTCTTGCACAGACATTTCTTTCACTCAACCCTTTCCCCCACAGGGTATCAAATAACAAACTCACCTTCTCATTTTCTTGCTGTTAGCCAGTTGTCTGAACGCACATTTCAATCCAAGCCCTTTGCAACCTCTATCTTTATGAAGATTTCTCCAGCCTTTCTCTGTGGTGGACTGAGTCCTGTTTATATTTTTAAAAGGAAAGAGCAAAAGAGGTGCGGCTATGAGGACATTTGCATGATTTACATATAATGAACAATTACATTTCTTTTTTTACCCTAGCTTTTCTCCATACTTGTCAACACTCCAATATTAACTAGACAAGAGCCTAACAGGTATGCTGGACTAAGAGACCAAACATCACTAATGAGTTTCATGGCTCAATGGAGATTTGAATCTTACAGTATGTGAGTCCAACACTCTATATACCACTCTGGTTCTTTGCCTACACTTAAGCTTTTTTAAAAAAAATTGTGGCCTTTTACACAAACACAGGTTTTACTCATGTATAGTATACTTATTCTAGTACAGTAATACCCGCTTCATCTAGCGTCCATTCTGGCAAACGTCCGCGGCAAACCCGGAAGTACCGGAATGGGTTACTTCCGGGTTTGCCGCTGGTGCATGTGCAGAAGTGCTAAATCGCGCTTCGCACATGCGCAGAAGCACAAACCGCTTCGTGCATATGCGGCACTTTGCCCTGCGTCCTTTTCAGCTAGCGGCCGGAGCTCCGGAACAGATTCCAGTCGCAAAACAAGGTACGACTGTATCTAATAAATTGGAACCTAGCACTCAATTCATTATAGCACAGGTGAAAGAGGACAGAACAAACCAAAACGTACCAGTGTTCTTTTCCAGTCTCGCAGAAGCTTGTGCACTTCTTGTCTTTTAGGTTAGCACACTGGCATCTTCCATGTCTTCCAAGAGGTAAATCTTCCAGTGACCGCCTTGATCGGGAAGGACTCCCGAGCCCATATGGCACAATTCGCCTATCGTTGGAGGGAGGGGGGAGAGAGAAGAGGGAGAGAACTGTTTAATTCACTCACAGAAATAAAAGTTAGGAGCGTTGATTTAAAAGGACTCTGGCCACACCAAAGGTTGAAACTCACATTTGCTAATAACTTCTAACACACATTTGCATAGGCTGGTGGAAAAAGCAACACCAGTTTCCATTTTAGCAAATGTTAGCTGCCACAACTGAAACTTGAGGGAACTCATATTTAGGCTGACTTCTAGAGCCACTTTACAAATTTCATTTTCCGGAGCACAATAGTGTGTGACCAAGACAAATTGATGTTTGCAAACGCTGGCATCAAATATGTACACTTGTCAAGGAGGTGTCCCTACTTGAAGACAAAAACCAAGTTTGCTTCTGCACACTGTGCGAAACGTGTTAAAATTCAGAATTCAGTGTGCTGTGCGAGATGTGTTAAAATTCAAGATTCGTTATGCATCTTCATCAGCATGCAATGAGCTCTCTCCCAATTCAAAATACAAATAAGTTGCACCATTCATGTCTATTTAGCAATGAAGCCCTCCTTCCAATTATTACACTATTAAGGCAACTAATTAAAATGCTATTGGTGATGTTAGTGCCAGATGGTGGTTTTTAAAGATACATTTCAGCGCCCTTATCAATGGTGCTTTTTAATTATACAACACAGTTCTTTGGACAACAGCATTCCTGGCCTTTCTTTGCTAATCTCTAATGGTGATTAACCATGGTCCTTCCACACATTATGCTGAGCCAGCAAGGAGCCACAGAAAGAATTTTTGACTAGATTCTGTCTTAGCGGAATGTGCTAAAGATATTCCTCCCCCTCCCTTCTTGGCTACAATCCAGTAACAAATTTCAGTCTAACGCTGCAAATTATTTTGTTTCTGGGCGAATCAACTCTTTTACCCTACCCCAATGCACACACAATCCCGAAACAAAACAATTTAACTGGCTTTAACTTTTTAGCCATTAAGCAGCCTAGTACAAATTCTTTGCAGAAGAATTTAAAATTTGTTTAGGACCAGAATAGCATGAAAAGCTGGGGATAGTAAGCATGTTTATCCATAAGCAAACCTTGTTTCATATAATGAGCCACTACTCTCTTGGAAGTAAAATGCAACCCTCAGCATTCTTCATGTTACTTCAAGTCTTCTTCTCCTGTCGTTAAGAAGCGTCCTAGGATATCCTAGGATGCACCTATAAAGCTACTTAAATCCCACTGGTTTCATGGATTGCAGTCGCAACCATTAGGGCTGCAATCCTACACACCTACTTGGGAGTAAGCCCTGTTGGACTTTGAGAGTTACGTCTGAATCCACTAAAGGTACTATTAGTGAAGTGATACTTTCAGAAAGCAATGCCTTGATTTGTACTTTTATTGCACCAACGTGAAATGCTTTGGTGCTTAATTGTGTTTTTAAAATTATGATTTTTTTCAGCTAGTGCTATGCAAAGTCTAAGATACACTTAGCCTTCCGCTGGGTACCAGACTGGTGCTGTGATTATGGCCCAGAGAGAGCACCAGACAGATGAGCTGACGAGGTTACTTTAAAGGAGGAATTAGCAGGCTAATTATGCCACAACCGCAAGCAGCAACCTCGCTGCAATAATAATAAAAAAAAACCTGCATTAATGGCTTAGTTCCAAGGAGGAGGCAGTACTCACTCGGGAGTGTTGATCCAGATGATGTCCAGGTGGCAGAAATAGACACACTCCTTATCCATCAGGGAAGAACAGGAGCACCGCTTGGACCTGCGCAGCGGCCAGGGGGCGCTCGAAGGCTGCCTTTGAGCGCTCTCGGAGGCGCCGAGCTCCGCGTCTGCAGCAGCTGCAGGAGAGAGAAAGAGCAGCGCTTGAGCAAAAAGGGGAAAGAAGCCACGAGACAGGCAGGCGCTCCTATCGGAGCTTGGCCGGGAGGGAAGGCGCGCTATTCGGAAAGGAGACGGGAGCAGCTGCCATGCCTGCAGGGCGGCTCGCAGGAGACGCTCAGGGCAGCGCAAGGTTTATCAGGGACACGCGGCGATCGTCGTTACCGGGAAACTTTCTCCACGTGGCTGTTAATAAAGACGCAGATTTTTTGATCCGAGCCAGCAGAGGAAGGGGAAATCTAAGGGAGACGGAGCGCAAGGGCTTTTAAACCGGAGTGCTTCTGTTTTATGGCGCCATGCAAGCAGCTGATGAGTCTTAAATCCATTTCACACATTGTTGGAGGAACCGCAGAGCCGGAGCGGTGGCTGCCTTGGGGATGCCCTCCGAGGGGGGCCTTAGACCCAGATCATCGCCCCTCCACTCCACCTCGCTTTCCCTCAACTCCTGATCCTGCGTGACATAGTAACCAACTCCTAGAGGCCGAGGTCCCTTCGCCTCCCCAATAAAGTATTTGAGGGGGTCGCTAGCGCCCGCTCCAGTTGATGGGCATTGCCATTCAAATGCTGTGTGCGTGTGGCTTCTTGTGGAGGATCCTGCGGGACAAGGCTTACCTGCCCCTCCCCCAAAATATTTTAAGTTGGCACCTCTGGAAAAATCGTAACCTAGCCTACTGGGAAGCAACCCTTGTATTCAGTGGGGGCTTATTCCCCAGTCTAGGGAGGGTAGCTCGACTCCTTGAATTCATACAATCGCAACGAGCTCCATTAAATAGGCGAATCCAGAGTCCCTGCGCTTACAGTATTCTGAAGATGCGCACTAAGAGGGAAAATGCGATCCTGAGCATCTTTCGAATACTGTGTGTGCAGCGTAGGTATAGGAGGCTAAAACGTAGTCAGAATCAGATCAGGTAAGGCAATTTGCGATTTCTAGGCAATGGACGGGCTAGTTGTACCTTTTTATTATTAGGGTTTACTTCCGAGTAGGCATGAGCAGGGTCAGGCCGCTTGTAATTCTCACCGGCGGCGGGGACCCCCCAACTGCTCCGCATGTGGAGTTTGTGGGTGTCTTTAGCGTGCCAAAGTCTGTTCAAAGGAATGGGGTTTTAGGAGCGCTTAGCTCTGCAAAGGAGTGCGGTAAAACCAGGATGCCCTTAGTCCGAAATCCCATCCAGGTTACCTCCCCGGGCACAACATGTCAATGCAGAATTATTCGTAGAGATTAAACGAGGTCGAGAAAATCCGCTCGAAGGGATGAGACGGGGCATATAAAAGAAGAACCCTTTAAATAATTGAACTTTCCCAACCACATAACCAGTAGCGGCAGAATGCTCGTTTACTCGGTGTGTGGTGCACATGCCACCAAACATTTATCCGCCATAAGATCGCGTTAACTCTCAGAGGGAGGAATCTGGTTTAAAACCAGCCACTCCGGGTTAACGGCCTTGTGGATCGCAGCCGAGGCGCTCCTTAACACCTTGGTAGCAAGCGAAGCGAAGAAGCCAGCGCTCAGGTAAAAGACTGGAGAGAGTAGCTTCAGACCTGTGGCCTCAGAGCCTTATCACTCTTCCTCGGCTGGACGCAGTCTACCAGCAAAAGTACACTCTTGACCTAGGCACGCTTGCAGTGGGAACTTGGAAAAACGGGAGTGGAGGCGGTAGGAGTAGCATGCACTATCTCCCCCCCCCCGGGGGGGGTGAAAAAAGAAAGAAAGCGCAGCCGATTCCTCAGCTTACCTGTGTGGCTGATCACAAAGAGCAAGGGAAGGATCAGTCGCGTGTAATCCATTCCGACGACTCTTCTGGTAAACCCAAGGCAAGCGAATGGAACTCCCCCTTTAAACCCCGTTTGCTCCCGCAGGAGGTTGCAGGTAGTAGCCGAGCGACTGTGCTTGCTGGCCAAGGATCCGAGGAGGACGAAAGGACTCCGCAATCCGCTAGGCAGCAGTGAGGCTGTGTCTCCGTGTTGCAGCGAGGCTCCCTGCGAGCTTCTGCCCGCGCTGGCTCTCGGCGGCTCCTTTTATACCGCTCCCCTACAGAGCGGAGTAAACAGCGCTCCTACTTTATTTTATCCCGAGACAATGTTATTGTGTCATTAGTCACCGAGAGGCAACGTGCAGAGCGAGATAAGGGCAGGCTCGGGAGGAAATCGCTGCGAGCTTCTGAGGCAGACGCCGTCTGGCAAGGCAGGGGCAGGGTTGCACAGGAAAATAAATACCCGGAGCAGACCTTTCGGAAAGACCGAAATCCCGCGGGCCAAGGGCGCCTCCAGCGCGCGGCCGCCAGGGGGCGCACCGCCGCGGCCTCTGCTGCGCCTGGGGGGCTTTGGCCCACTGCCCGTGATTAGAAACGGCAGTGGGATTTCTTTCGGGTCAGGTTTTAAAAGGCGGGAGGGGAGGGAGGCGGCCACGAGAAATCGCCCCCCAATATATGCAAAAGGCAGCGATGGTTTACTGCCTTCAATTCTGTGCCTGAGTTAGTATTTATTCAGCGGGGGGAGGGGTTTCACTGCGGGGTCCCTCCAGATGTTTCTGGACTCCCATCACCCCTGACCATTGGCCATGCTGGCTGAGGCTGATGGGGGACCAGCAACACCTGGAAGGCCCACCCCTACCCCCTGCGTTCATTAAAGGTAAAGGGACCCCTGACCATTAGGTCCAGTCGTGGCTGACTCTGGGGTTGCGGCGCTCATCTTGCTTTATTGGCTGAGGGAGCCAGCGTACAGCTTCCGGGTCATGTGGCCAGCATGACTAAGCCACTTCTGGTGAACCGGAGCAGCACACGGAAACGCCGTTTACCTTCCCACCGGAGCGGTACCTATTTATCTACTTGCACTTTGCCGTGCTTTTGAACTGCTAGGTTGGCAGGAGCAGGGACCGAGCAATGGGAGCTCACCCCGTCGCGGGGATTCGAACCGCCAACTTCTGATCAGCAAGTCCTAGGCTCTGTGGTTTAACCCACAGCTTGCACTGCATCCTTGAAATGGGGGGAGGACCTGTGGCCAGTCCTACTACTGTCATGACCAGTGGTCAGAGATTATGGGAGTTGGGCTCATGCAACCTCTGGCAAGCCACAGGTTCCCTGCGTTTTTAGCTCATTTCAAGGCTCCAGGTCTAGGCATTGCAAACGTGCCTGGGAGTATACTGTTGGATAGTGAAATAAGAACTTTTTATGGATAAAAAAAAATCTTCCCAGATCAGACAAAAGCTCCATCCAGTCTGGCGCCCTGTTTTCGTCAGTCGCCAAGCAGCTACCCTTGGAAACTCTCAAGAAGGATACAGAGAGGGAGCTATCTTGTCTTGGCTCCAGCATGTAGCAATCCAAGCGACACGGCCTCTGAGTACAGACGGCAATAGTTCCATTTTTAGCTAGCATGGCAAGGGGTGGGGGTGGGGTCTAATCCCTGTGGATTTGTCTAATCGCCTTTTAGCAACCAACTACACCAGCTACCACCACTGCAGTTTGTCGTCATGAACTCGTAGAATCGCAGAATTGTAAAGTTGGGAGGGACCATGAGGGTAATCTAGACCAACCCCCGGGAATGCAGGAATCTTGTGTCCAACGTGGGGCTCGAACCCACAACCCTGAGATTAAGAGCCTCATGCTCTAACACCGGAGCTATCCCAGATCCATAAACTTAACTATGCCTGGTGTGTGTGGTGTACTTCCTTTTGCTCATTCTACAAGCAATATTTTTGTAAAGAAGGAATGAGATGGAGGTAGCAACTGCCCTGTTTTATATGTGTATTCAAGACCAGAGTGTATTAAATCCAAGGCCTTTATAACAGGTGTGGTTCACCTGTGGCTCTTCAGGTGTTACTGGACTCCAGCTCCCGGCAGCCCCAGCCAGTGGTTTCAACAACCATGGGAGGTGTTGGGAGGATGGGGGGGGGAAGGTTCTCCCAGTTCTGGTATATTGCAATGCGAGGGTTTTTTTATTAATGACAAATCGGCTAAAACATCAGGAAATTCCTGCTGGATCAGAGCAAAGGACCATTTAGCCCAGCATCCCATTTCTCACAGATGCCTGTGCGAAGCCTGCAAACAGGACCCGAGGGCTAAAGCATTCTCCCCACTTGTGAGTCACAGCAAATGGCAATCAGAGGCATTCAGAAGTAGTGCATGGCCAACATTGCTATTAGCCAGTGGTAGCCTTTGTTCCATGATTTTTTAAAAATTATTTCAAAAACGGGCAACACTTCATGAAACAAGAGTACCTCTAACCTTAATCAGTTTTCTGTGTCATAAGCATGTTTGAACTTGCCAAGTCTGTTGCTTAATGATATGCCATATTTTTTTATGGTGTTTGGGGTTGCTTCCAAGATTTATTATTTCAGGAAATGCATCTACAATCCAAGTGAATCATCAATGCATTTATTTTCTTTTGGAATGCATTGGGCTTGCTGGAGGAAAGACTGTGCATTGGCAAAGGTATTTTTATTGCACAGCAATGTATGAATATTAGACAAGGAAGGAGAAAAGGCATTTGTGGGGTTTTTATTATTTTGAAATGGGTTACATTTAGATGATTATAAATATTTTGTTTTGAAACTACCAGTGGGTGATGTTGGGGCAATTTGCTAGGGGCTCCAATAGCAGCAATAGAGCCCACTGCCCTTAGACCAAACCTTGAAAGAGGCAGTTAGGCGTTTCCACCAGTTACTACACTATCTACCTCTCTGTATGGCTCTAATTAAATGGCTGCAAGTTCTCTCTGGTTTATCACTGTGGTATTATTCCTCCTCCACTGTCATCCCAGCTTCACATTTATATTATTATGTGATATAATCAGGGCCTTTTTCAACTGAAACTCACCGGAACTCAGCTCCATCGCCCCTCAGATGGGTGCACTGCCATTCTAAGGGAACGAGGGAAAAGTTTGTAGTTACCTCAATCACCTCTTTTTCTAGAAAAATAGCACTGGATGTTCTGCATGTTACATATTATATGAACTGTGGTGAAGAGAAGGCTTAAACTGCTGCTCCTCACTAACTGTGCCCTCCTACCTTTAATAAAAAGACCCACAAAATGCTTGGGAGGGTCACAATTAGCACTTAACTATAATCCAGTTTCTTACCCTCCTGCCACCTCAGTGCGCGCTCTGTGTGTGTGTGTGTGTGTGTGTGTGTGTGTATCCTGTAAAGTTACAAGTTCTTGTGAAGCTGGGTTTTTTAAAGTATTGTTTTGATTTGCAAAGTTCTCTACTTCAGCATGCCTAAGGAACCCTCAAAATTTGTAGGGGCCACTACCTTCTTTTCCAATAACCCTGTTTTGCCTCCATAGCAATAGGGCAGGGATGGGAAAGCTCTGACCTGCAAAACTAGTCCACTCCTCTTCATGAGCCTCGCACATCCCCCCCCCAAGTCATGCTTCCACCACCTGACTGGGAAGAAAAAGGAGCAACTTTAATCTTTGTTGCAGACTGGTTTGAGAAAGTTTCGCCCAGGGATGGAAAACCTGTGGCAGCTTCAGGTGTGGTCGGACTCCAGCTCCCATCAGTCCCATCTAGCATGGTTAATGGTCGGGGGCGGGCGGGATGGGATATGTAGTCCTGCAGCATCTGGAGGCTCACAGGTTCCCCACCAGAAGCCTCCGTCGCTTCTAGCTCCTCTCCCACAAGGCCACTGACAACCACCTGCCCCACAGGAAGAATCCTTCTGACTTATTACATGTTGCTATGGCTGTGTAGGTGTGCATGGTGCATGTTTTAACAAGCTCGGAAGGATTTGTATTCTGAAATACAGGATATAAATAACTGGGGGGTAATAAAATGAATAAAATGATTGTGGACTGCCCACAATGTTTGGCCACTGGGGGAAATGGGGATACTGGCCTAAAGCGCCCTTTGCTCTGATTCACTGGGGTTCTTCTTTTGATCTTAGCAACTTGAACATAGAGCAATGATAATAGTTTGGCCTGCTAATTCCTGCAGAATCATAGCTGCTGTTAAAGACACAGCAGCAGAGACTGATGGAAAGGCTACAGTCTTAATTACCCCTGAGCATCCCTTACTTTAAAATTGTTATCTGGTTGCCCAAAGATGGCTATTTTCCCCACGCCCACCCCGCTTTTAATGAAGCTACTTCGGTCACCTCCCCCCCCCCTTAGCCCTTGCTCCTGTGCTTTGAACAGCAGGCTGACATTGATGGTGTAGTGTAGTGGTTAAGACTGTGGGACTAGGACCTGGGAGACCAGGGTTCAAATCCCTCCTTCAGCCATGAAGCTCACTGAGTGACACTGGGCGGCTAGCCCACTTCACTCGGTCCTTGCGAGGATAAAACAGGGAGGAAGAAAAATATGAAAGCCACTGGCAGGGGGTGGGATAGAAATGCAATAATAATAATAGCGATAATAAAAGAAAAATTGCATGGGGGGGCAATGTGTAGGGGAAACGAGGCAAAGAAATCGAAGCTCTCTTGCATGGTGGGCAGAAGCCCAAATCTATTGTGCTCCACTGCCCCCTACTCCCATTTCCAGCTGGAGAGCCAGCTGCTCAAAAGCTTCGGCCATGTGGTCATTCCAAAGTGCCATAGTCTTGTCAGTTTGCATCACTTTCAGGGGGATGCTCACCGTTTGAAAGCCGGGCCGACCCCCCCCCCAAAAAAAGTAGGCTGCCGTGGGCCGCTGCCATTTAAAAGCTCAGGCCCTGCAAAGGCAACGGCTGTAATTAGGTACCGAGCTCCGCAGATGTTTGAAGTTGGAAGAATACCCATGTGCGGCCTTGCTCGCGAGGGCGGGCCTGGAGCCCGTGAAGCGACTTCAAAGCCCCGCTAATCCCGCGAGTCTCCTCACGGAGGTGCTGCAAGGAGACAATAGGTGAGAGAGGAGCTTCAATTGGGGGACAATTGGCCGGGGGGGGGGGAGGAAAGGACTGACTGACAGAGACCCTAATTATGAGGGGATGAATGTTCCCCTGACTTGAGGGAAAGAAAGAATGAGAGTGGTTTCAAAAATACCGTGTGTATTATTTCGGGCCTTTTCAGGCAAACAAAAGGAGAGCGGGAAGCTCCAGAATTCAAAAGAAACGCAGAGATAGAAAGGGAAACCAAAAGCGAAGGCCCTGCGGGGCTTAGCTGCGTTGCTGCGTTGCACAGAGCGAGCAAAATGGCCACTGTTTCGACAGGGCGGGAGAGGTGTGGAAACAAGGGCTTATTATAGCACGTATGGTTCAGGTTTGGCTTATCCCTCTTGTCACTGTTGTAACTAAGCCTAAGCACAGGCATCTGAAGGAGTCACATGCTTCCCTCCCTCTTTCATTTCACTGTGCTTGTTTTAGATTGTAAACCTGTTGGGGCAGGGACCTGACATACCTGATATTTGGAAGGTGCCATCGTGTGTGTGTGTGTGTGTGTGTGTGTGTGTGTGTGTGTGTCATCTCTCCCTCTCTTATACGGGGGATAAAGAAAAAGATAAAAGGGGGGCTCCAACTGGCCTGCTTTCTGCTGTGAAGTGATTGCTGCTAAATTGCAAACTATTGGAAAGGTGCTTATCCAAGGCAGCCCAGGCCTCCTGATCCTCAGATGTCTTTTTGGTCTGCATGAAACATCTATTTACGAGAGAGTCAAGTTCTTAGGGCCTTATCTATCATTGTATGTCAAGAGCTATTGATGGCTCTATATTAGTATCTTTAAAAATTTGGTACAACTGCTGTCATTCTGTAACCTGTAACCTGCATTTATCGCTCTCCACCTGCACTTCCCCCCTCCCGACCACACTCTGTGGAGCTCCTGTGCCTTTTAAGATTGCAGGTTGAAGCAGAAAAGGAGCTGCCGAAACCTTCCTCCATCACTGTGTTTGCCTCATTAGCTGAATACCTGCTTGTGTCGCAAGTATTTAAAGGATGGGGCTTACCAGAGAAAGGTTAGCATCACCAGAACTTAGCCAAATAAATGTGTTTATGGAAAGATGGAAGGGGTGGCAGGGAGTGGTGGGGGGGAAGGAAATTGACACTCACTCACTCACTCATATACCATGTTTATCCCATGCCAGTGTGCTGATAAGGCACCATGTTGTTCTGAAGCTATCTGCTCAGCCTTTGAAAACCCCAGATGTAATACTGTGTTTCCTTGCCAGCAAGTATGTTTCTTCCCACGCATGCATCCTTGGGTGATATCTCTTTAATGCTAATTGCATTCCTCCAGGACCACGGACAAAAGGATGATATACCTCTTTGTATAAGAACAGGACTATAGCCTGCAGTATCAGGCCCCTGGCCCACCCAGTCCAACATCCTGTTCTTATAGTGGTCAGTCAGAAGCCTGTGGGAAACCAACAAGGTGAACATGAGCAGAAGAGCCTTCTGCCCTCCGGTGGTTCCAGCAACATTTTAACTGTCCTAAATCTTCCAACATTCAGCTTCATTGGATGCCCTTGAGTCCATGGGCATAGCCAGGATTTATGTTGGGAGGTTTCCCTGAAACCTATCTTGGTATTTCCCCTCCACGCTCCTTGGCTGTGCTGCCTCTCATGCTTGCTGCAGGAAGCAAAGAACTAGTTCTGGCCCCACAGCAGGAAGATAGGGTAGGGAAGAAAGGAGGCTGGAGAGAGCAGCAGTTCTGCACTGGTAGACCAGCATGCAAGAGCCGCTGTATCTTTTCACATGGCTGTAGAGCAAGGCTGGCTCTCCAGA